CTGCCCAGAAGACGACTTTATTAGTCGTCTGCTTAGGGCCGTAGTCTGAATCTTGTAGATTTTTATGAAAACCCACCCCAGGAAATTTAATACGTTTAATATAGTGTTTTGCTCTTTTTAATGACCTTCTTCTTATCAGGATTAATTTTGTCTGCATGGATGCTGTCTTATGTTCATGGTAATGATTTTTATAAGCATCTGATAGAATTGGATACACAATCTGGATAAAATGCCATTGGACGTTATCACACGTGGGCCAGAAAGCGATAATAAAGTGGAAATGAGGCATTCCGAAAATAAACAGAAAATAAACCTTGATTCCGCAAATGGCTTTCACATGTAATTACCTTAATTGCGAAATTACAGTAAGCGCATTTAATGTTCACAAGTGAGAAAAGCCCGTAAATGTACTAGAAATGAGCTTCTTGTACATGCACAGATAGAGGAATGCTCGCTGGAACCATGGGAAAAGCAGGGAAATGCTCCCAAATTCGCATTTGCTTTTCACATTACGGTAAATGCGAAATTACCTTAATTTCGCATTTGCATTTTCTCCAAACAACCGAATTTCAAAAGATCTCGGTTAACACCAGTTTCTGTCCACTTTCTGTCCATTTTCTGTGCGACGTCGTATGAAAATGCTGGGCACAAATCCAGTTTCTGTTTGGGATTTGTGTGGATTAACCAGCAGATTTGCCCCCGTGTGATAACGTCCACTGTCTGCCTACCTTTTCTCACCTCCTTACCTCTCTTTCTTTTTTTGCATGCCTGCCCTATGAGCCTCCTTCCCCATGGAATGCCCATTTCTCTTGAGGAGAGGAAGATGTTTTGGAATCTTTTGGATCATTGTTAGGCAACCACCTTCCACACTCACTTTTTGCTTAGGAAAAGTAACAGGGCAAAACACAGTAATAAAAAAAGAGTGGAGAAAAGATGGAAAAAGAGAAAGTAAGTGTGCAAACTACATAAAAACAATTCAGAGTAGGATCAAGTGACAGAAAGAAGGAAATAGTGGTGCTGAGATGGGAGAGTAAAGGAAAAATCTAAGGGAAGAGAAAAATCACTGACAGATTAGTTTTGAGAAAAAGTCCTCCCCCTGCCCACCATATTCTCAGAAAAGCCTGACTGCAACTCTGTCAATGGCCCTAATCGAAATGCATTTGAAACACAACTCTTCATCAAGGACAATCTATATCTGTTGTTGTTAACTGCCCTCAAGTTGACTTTGACTCATGGCGACCCTGTGGATGCAACCTCTCCAAGACCCCTTGTCCTCTCTGCTCAGGTCTTGTAAGCCCAGGCATGTGTCCTTCCTGATCAAGTCCAAA